ACGCTGCGGGCGTGGCAGTAGAGGCCAATGAGCTTGCCGATGATGTTGGCGTGCTTGTTGCGCAGGTTGATGGCGTGGCAGATGGCAGCGACGATGACGAACTCTGGGACTGGCAGCGCAGCACTGTCGTCGTTACGACTAATCATCGCGAGGTAGTGCTTCCAGACGACGGGGGGAATGAGCTCGCGTAATTCGCCAAAGACGCGATCGACCTCTCGTTGCGGCTGCTCTTCCTCGTTTATGGCAAAGTAGTGACGCGAATATCGTTGGAGGTCAGCGCTGAGTCGGTTAATCTCATGCGCCACCCGGCCGAGGTGCTTGTCCACAATCCGAGTCCGAAAAGAGCTGGACGGCTCCACCGACGCAGTTGGTGCTGACTTCATCGGTGTTGAGGGAGCAGTGGCCGCACGAGTGCTGGGTCGATCAGACGTTGTCACGTCATTCGAGCGTCTGTTTCTCGTCGCGGTGACTAAAACGATGACATTATTAATGTGACACATGTACAATATGGTCATTTACCATCGGATAACGCCGCGCTGGTAGCCTTTTTGCGTGCCGCCTTCTTCCGTTGCGTTTGACCGCGAGATTCGCATAGGCGACACACTAGTAGGCCGCCTATCTTGCGTCTTCGAGGCTTCTCCGGCAGCTCGCTGCACCGGATGCCGTCCCAAATGTAGTGGCATTGCGATGGGGCTGCGGACGGCATTTCCTATGCGGTTTTGTGAGCTATGGCCCATGCGTCTGGACGGGAAAACACTCCATTAGCACTAGGTCCCTCGTCGACTGGACGGGACCTAGCCCAGCAGAATGGAGGTTGCATGATAGCTTCTTCCATGCCCATTCTGCCTATGCAAGTGGCTCCCTGAACGAGCTCGTACATACCGAGTTATTTTCTTCCGCAGCGAGGCCCTTTTCGGCCTGGCCGCACGTCCGCGGCAGTCGCCTTCTTTTTTTGTTTGCGCGATACAAATCTCATGAGCTTTTTTTTCATTTTGGGTGCTGGTCACAGTTGCCAAGATTCCGGCTTGAAACGCACTTTGATTTTCAATGTGGTCTATTTGCGCCAATATTTCACGTATGGGGCATCAACGCAGCTCGCTGGAAAGATAAACGCTTCGTCTATCTGCCTAACGTATTGTGAGGCTCCACTAGATGACCATTTTGTCGTAAATTGCATCCCAAGACACAGTGCGCCGTTTCCTGGATTTTCATACTGAACACAAGTGTAGTCGATGGGAGTATTTTCCGAAGTTCACTTCGATTCGAACGAAGTTTCAAATTTGCTACCTGCTAGCAGGTCCTGCGGCACGGACGCCGACGCCGTTAGCGTCACGCGGTGGTGCAGTAGCGGCACATCGCCTTCAAAGATAAACACGTCACAAGAACGCGACACGGTCACGACGGTCGAAAGCGACGCCAAAGCAACGCGCCACGTGTACTCGACGCCCGGCTGGAACGGACCGTGGAGCGCGCGGTCGACGCGCGCAACACTGCCCGACGCTTCGTCATAGAGACACTGCACCAGACGTAGCGACGCGATAGGGCGAGTTGTGTGAAAGCGGTAGGTTCCGGCGCAGGCAGCGTCGAGTGGGCATGGAATGTGCAGGTGGCCGTACGCGTCGTCCAAGCACTGCGAGAGCGACCGGTTGCACGCGGTGCAGCCAATCTAGTACCTGTTCGCACCGAATTGCAATGAAAAAGGAGTCTTTACGGTCGCAAACGGCGCGTCGCTCAACGGCAAACTCAAGTGCAAACTCGTCAAGGCAATCGCGGGGTCGTTCCACGGCGCAGCGTGTCCTAGACCATTGGTCAAGCTACTGGGAACGACGACGAGAAGGCTGGACGCACCGACAAGAGGCCGCTCGAGCGCAAGGGCCTGGCTGGCTGTAAAGGTCATGGTCCGACGAGTTGCTTACGAAATGAATTGTGAGATTCGATTGAGGGCGTTGATCTGCATGGGGTGTTTCCAGATCTCGGCTCGAATCTTACTAGCATATATTATGTCGTTTTCGTCAAGGCATGAAAAACACGCCACATTTCGCTGCCCACAGAATGATTGCGCTCACGTGCAGTGCATTGTTCGACGGGCAGCACGGTTCCCGCGACTTTGTCAGGGTCATGAGTTATGCAGAGAGAAAACTTGTGGAATGCTCCAACGTTGACAAAGCTCGACATATTGATGCCTTCCTTCTGACTGAGGTCTATTAGACTGCATGCAAGTCCTTATCATCGATCGCCATTGCTGGATTCTACCGACAACAACGACAGCTTCACCTCACGGAGCTTGGTCTGGCGACCGTCGCCACCACTTGTGCATTGAAGGTTGCTGACTGCGCATCGTTTCACCGCGACTTGATAAAATCGAGCCGCACTAAGATCTCACATGACTATCATTCTATTTCTACCCCACACTGATTGGCCCAATCTAAATCACAGCCTTGCGATTGGTCCATCACTTTGCACATCCAACAACCCAGCCACATTTCAAGATGCTGACCCCGGCCGACGCACGAGCACGCACGACGCCGCTGCCCGACGGTGCGACATGCGTCGGCGAGCGAGAGCCTCACGTTCCTCGTAGGCGAAGAGCTCATAGTGTCGCCCGGCCTCCGCTTCGACGCCTTTGCCATCACCAACATGGCCCAGTCCAAGACCTTTTTCAAGGTACATGGCAAAATCGACTTGCTCGCATTTCCATGGCGGCCAACTAGGCGGGCTGCGCCGTGTGCCCAGAAGCGTCGCTGGCGCTCACGCTGCACGAGACATCGGGACATATCCAGTGCCTGCTTCCCGACGCCTTTTGGACGAGCCACGATTTCACGTTCCTCGTCGACTTTGCGAGCACGACCGCCCGTACCCATCTGCACCTCGTACATTGCATCTACCTCGGCGATCAATGCATCGTCGAGTCGTTTTCGTTTGGCGCGATCGAGCATAATGTCGCGTACCGCTGGCTGGTGGAGTGGATGAACCCCTTCTCCTTTCTGAGCGCGAGCGACACGACGCAGCCGACGCACAGCGACGTCTTTTACTTTGACAACGACACGCTGCTTGCGCACCACCGCGTGTCGTTTCAGGCCGTGCCCGAGGTCGGTGGGCACCGCGAGAACCAGCTCTTTGACGCGTTGGAGGCTCGGGCGCTGGCGCCGATTCGTACGGCGTTGCACCACCTCGCCCGCGTCCCACAGATGTACAAGGTGCCTACATTCGTATGTGCTTGGTCGACACTCACATCGTCTTTGGCATGAACGCTAGCTCACTCACGACGTCCTCTTCGACTTGATTGACGACGGCGCGATCGATATTGCTCGGCTCCTCGTGGACCACGGCGCCACGCTCTCGGGGGTACGACCAACTCTTCATAGCGTACGGGTCGCACCAAGTCTCGTAGACATGCAGCGATCGGCTCTTGACGCGCGCCCTCGATCGCAGTGACATCGAGATGGTCAGCTACGCGCTCGATCACGGCGCGAATGTTCAATCGACCATCTTTGTACGAGAAGGTAAACACGCAGTTCTGAGACGATGTGTTGTAGGGGCAGACGCAGCTTCAGCGAATGGTGCTGGCCGGCAACGACGCCATGGTGGATGTGCTCGTGAATGCAGGCGCGTACGTCGGCAACCCCTGTGACCTCCACGACCACATTGACCGTGATTGCTCCCGGCACTGCAAGGTGCGTACTCATGCCTGTTACTATAAGACGTATCGTGCTTATTGCCGACATACATAGGTTGCCGAGGCGCCCTTGGTCGCAGCGTATACGAGCAACCAACCACGCATGGCACAGCTCCTCCTGGACCTCCACGCGCCGATCGACGTAGCTCAAAAAGCGGTGCGTATACCAGCATCTCCCGTTTGCCAAAAGCGACGATGTAGGCTCCCCGCAACAACCTGCTGGCGCTCTGTCTGCTACATGTGACGGACCAATGCGCGCGCCGGTGGCATATCCAGCAGCTCCTCGAGCGAGGCGCTATCGCCACCATCCGCCAGCCCAACCAGGTACCCTAACCGCCCGTTTTCGGCGCCGAACGGGGACGTGTAGGACGGGGTGACGCCATATGCGCTGGCCACATCGATGAATGAATTCATGATTCGCGAGAGCTTTGACTTTTATACGAAAGCGACCTCCGATGCACCGGTAGCATCCACGTTCTATCGCACTCTGTGGCTACGAGATTCTTGTAGCAAGACGACAATGCTGCAGATGTATGCGGCCAGAATGCTGCGGCGGCCTGGCGATTGCAAACGAGCACGTCCATATGGGAGCTGTCTCCGAGGGGCAGCACCGCCTCGAGCTACGAGTACGACTCGGACGCACCCAGCAGCGAGAGCGACGGCGACTGGACGCTTGTCGACGACGATGTGGATATGGTTCACTAACAGACGACAGCTAAAGCCTCTATCTACCGCCTCGTCTTGCACAGTACTAATACTCTATGTATCTGATACGAAGACGTCTTTTCTCGTAACGCCTGATTTGTTGTTGCCATGAGCCGCGTACTGCCTGTTGGTCCGTCGGTGCTCGACCTTGATGCTGCTACACGTCGCTGGCCGCAGCGAAAGTCGGCCGTCGCTGGGCTCTTGTACCTCTGGTTTGCCATGGCCATTGGCGCCTACTATCTCGTTCTCCTCTCGCGCAGCTTTGCCAACGACCTCTGGTGGCCGAATTACAACACGAGCGGGTATGAGCTTTTTCTCGTCGATGCCATCAACCATGCTTTGGAGCAGCGGCTCGCAGGTGTCGTGGACCTTACAGAGCTTGCCATGCCAAGATCGTATGCCTCAACGCAGCTTCCAACGCCGCACCCAGCATACGTGCGGTCGCTCTTGCTCGCAGAGCTCACGTCCATCGAGTATGCGATTCGAAACATCCGCAACATGACCGCTGAGCAGTCCATGATGCTGCCCACGCTCTTTTGCTACGTGGACTTTGGTCAGCGCTGGGAACTCGCCCACACGGTTGCTCGCCAAGCGCGGTGCAAGGAGAAATACCGCTTCAACGGTGCTGTCTACCTGGACGCCGTCGTTCGTAACGTACAGTGGGCGAGGCTCATGGATGCCGTCGGCCATTTGCTCGATCAAGCCGTCTTTGCTGCGTTAAGCGCATCGGGCTCCCATGGGGACACGTGGCTCACAGCAACAGCAAATGCCAACCTCTCTCTAGTCGACGAAGCTACATACTGGCGGTCGCTCGGCGTGACGCACTTTCAATTGCAGTGGCAAAATTATGCGTACACGGGCCTTCAGTCGACGATGACGGTCGTCAATGCGCTTGGGATTGCAGCGACTATTGAACTTCATCGAATCAAGTTCCAGCAAGGTCCGTGGACGACTCACGTGTTCAACATGTTGTTCCTGAATGAGATCTACGCGATGCAGAAGTGCGGCCAGAGCCTCGTCCGCTATTCGACCAACTACGTCTTGAACTCCCCGTGCAGCTACTTTGGGTCCCAAGGCTTTGAGGATTTCCTTGGTCTCAGCGACAGCCGCGGCCGCTTTGTCAAGCAAACGGGACTCGTCCGCGACGCCATTGGACCGTTCTTGTCTGTCGACCTCTTCGTACTCCCCCCGCCTACCGCTGTGGTGAAGGCTATTGCAAGCTTTCAGCGTGTGCTCTACCAAGCAGTCCAAGCCAATGCCACAGTCGCTCGCGAATATGGACAACTACCAGCGCTCTCAGCTATACCGCTGCCAGCGGCGTGGAAGGCCGATGAGTACCTTTTTTACGGCGGCAACCCCATGTGCTTGACCGGTATCGGACGCAGTTACGTGCAGCCCGCCTTCACCTTTGG